GGCTAACCTGCTCCCATCCTGTCCCCTGGAGCTAGTGATGGTCTTACAGAGGAGGATGCATCACAGCTGTTGTCTCACAAAAAGCCTTGATCCCACACAGCTGCCTCTCTCTCCCTCCTGAGACTGAGAAGGAAACCAAGAATGTGTCAGCTCTCCTTCAGGTCAGGGAGATGGAAGTTTCCTTTGGCCTTCTCTGACTCCTCTCTTCCCCTTGCCCATGTAACCCCTTTGCGTCTGGAGCCTTGGTTAGCTGAGTTGCTCCTGACTATTATTCTTGCTTTATCTGAGGATCTGTCATACTCCACCTCTATCCAATACTAATTTAGGGAACCTACTGGGCATGCTATGTGCACAGTACTGTTCCTATACCATGTTTTGGAGTTGCCCTTCTGATTATCTAAACTCCTAATGATGCATCTAAACCCCACATCCCGGCTGCTACAGAGGCAGACGTACAGCCAGAAAGCAACTGAGCTTCCAGCATCCTTTATACCCCTCTACAAAATCGCTCTCATTTATTCTTCTGTGTTGATTTCATGGAAATATAACAAGTTCATATATAAGGTTTGTTCCTGGTAAACTAACTTTCCCAAACAAGAGACGAGCTGGATTATAGTAGGTCCCACGTTGTGACCCCTAACAGTTGAGAAAATGATATAAAAAAGGTAAGAAAACCAACTTTTTGAGGGTTATAGTTTTCTCAAGTTTTTTATTTTTTTAATTAAAATCTCTTCTGTGGTATGAGGTACATTGTAGGAATGGTATTTATTTTTAATGATTTTACATGACAAAATAAAACCTTCCATCTTTTGACATTTCTACAGGGCTAGGTATGTAGATGTGAGTCATTTATAAAATGATTATAAAATAGCTTAGTGCTTTATTGTGCTTAATGCTTCACTCAACCAAACTCATTTTGTTCAAAGGCATAGTGTTGGAGAACACTGAATTAATAATTGCACAATTATTAAACTTTCTAACTCTTGTCCATTTACATTGGAGGTGATGTGGCCCTCTTTAGGGGGGAGGGGAAAGAAGACAATTTTGTATCCAACTTGACAAGACATATAGTTTTAGAAATTCTTAATTTCAAAGAAATATAAAATAAAATATCAGTAATAGCCTCATATTGTTAGCCAACTTTGTCTGAATGGTAAATTGAATGTAACAGTTATTATGGTAGACATTTAAAATATTTTTATTTTTAACTAATGAAGATATATTCTCATTCATCAAATGAGAAAACAGATTCTGAAAGTTTTCAAGTTACAAGTAATAAATGGTAAAGCAGAAGTTGAGCAGAATCGCTAAACTGCACAATCCAAGTTCTTTCCATTATTGAATAATTTTAAACGGTATTTGAATTCTTTTGAATCTTGTTTATAAGAAATGTATCAATAGCTGTTACCTTAATTTAGATAAATAGTCAAAAAACAACGCTTATGCTTATTTCATCTGTCAGGGCTGATCTGCCTTTTAGCAATAAAATGAAAGTCATTACCAAACAAATGGTGTCAGTTGGAAGGTTGATCCAAAGATGGTGTGCTAATCTAAAGAGAACACAAGTAAGGGGACCTGTCTTTCTTCAAGGTACAAAGTACATAAAACACAGCATCCAGTCACAGGACCAATATTAGGACAATTTTAAAAGATCTGACAAGAATGAGTTGCATTGTGAGTTTATTATTTTAAAGTAACCCATATTTCTGAATTTGCTGTTCCTACATTTATCTTTATATTAATAATTTTTATAAATGCTATAATTAAGAGTGATTTTTTTTATGTTTTAAGAGGATAGAATAAGAAAGAAGATATAGTCCTCATAAAAGTCCAGTTCAAATTACAAGCAAAATTGCAATACTTAGAGTCAAACCAACTTGGCCAATATCTATGGAGAATTCATCACTTTCTCCAACAGGTTAAGGCATATGTTTAGTTTCTTGATATGCCATGTTCTAGGAAAACATAATATAATATTATTCTGATAAGATAGAACTAGGAACACAGTCAGTGTATCTTCCTGAAGGTCTCAATTTTCCCATGGAGTAATTATTCAATTCTAATTTCACGATTTTTACTTCTTAAATTTAAAAGAACTGTTTATAAATTTGATGTTGCTTAACTTTGTCAGAAATAACTCGTAGTGGCAAAATAGTCAAACATTTTAATTAAAAAGTGCTTGTTTATATTAAACATTATTTAGATAGTAAGTTGTTTAAAGATTTTGCCTTTTAACACTGTAGCTTCTCTCTGCTAATTGAAAGCTCTGCCAAGAAAATTCCAAAGAAAACATTAGCCTCTGATACAGATAAGCATTTACATTTATCTCAATGTGCCAAGCAGCTTTCTCTATTCTAATAATACAAGCATTGTGTTCAGATCATCAGAGAACTTAAAACTAACAATAAAATAAATGGCATTGCCTTTACTATAAGTGAGTTTACATTTCCTTGCTTTTTTTCTACTTTTCTTTCATCTTTTACTCCACAAAATCATCACATAGAAAAAAAAGTTTTGATTCTCTACTGTGAATCAGGTATCTCACACTTATAATGAGCTTTCTAAGACTGACTGTGATTTTTCTAATAAAGATCTCAAGACTCTGAATAGTTTTCCAAAGTCATGAAGTGAGCAGGAATGAGATAGTAGTTGAAAATGTGAATAGAGTGTCTTTTTTAAAGGCAATGGTTTGCTCTTTCTTTTCAATTTTCTTCACTTTGTAAGTTATATAAATGTCATACCACTGTGCTATATATCTGAAACTAATGTAATAATATATATCATTGTGATTGAAAAATAAAAACAATATATAAAAAGGAAATGTATTTTCTATCTTAGAAATATCTGACCAACATTGTTGACAATATATTTAAATATGCATCTGTGAATTAATATAGACTAAAAGACTTAGAGGAGCCCAATGGTCACTAAAACTCACTTCTCCTAATTAAATGGTTCCCCAAAACAAATCATTATTAGAATTTTAGCTACTTATTTTTTTATGAGTCAGTAAGACTATATATGATAAAAGAATGCTGTACACTCTGGCCCTTAGAAAAAAGATCATGTAAAAAAAATTCTCATTTGAAAACAACACAAAGTTAACAAAACAAAACAACAACAACAAAATTAGCACCAGACACCCAAGCCAATGAACCTTGGTGTTTCTGTTCTAACACTATACTGTTCTGCTTAGTGTTGCACAATAGGCTTGGACCTTTTTCATGATGGACAATTGGAGCATGGTTCCAATATGTTATCAGAATCAAACTTTATGGACCATTTATTGTACAAGCAAAGTAAAACTATATTTATGGAAAAATAAAGTTTAAGTGAAGCAACTGACAAGTCTTCCCTTCTTAAAAACATCAATCCTTCCCTGTTGATAATATGTGCTGGAGTAATCATGAAGTCTTTTAACCTTGCTCAGAGGCAAGGTGAGATTTAACTTGCATCAAAATTCTTGGTAACTCAGCCATCATAGTAACTTCAGAAAAATTTTCCCTCTAGTATATCCATCCTATATGGTGATTCCTTTGTGCAGATAGTTTCAACCCCATTGCTTTTTCTGCCTTCACGTATTTTTCATGTAATCTCTAGAGGTTTATAGAAGCTTCTTTTGAATTTGATAGTAACCTAATCTCCCCAGCAGCAATTACACAAGTCAAAAAAGCAATAATCACCACCAGTAGAATCTCAGACTCACAAAAACAGGAACCATATCTGTCTTTCTCATTCCTTTCTCCCCAGGGCTTAAAAAAGATCTGGCCCATTGTGGGCTCTCAATATATTTGATGAATGAATGAATGAACGAATCCAGTGGAATTATCCTACAGTCCTTTTATAGCCTTTCTGTACACTTATTTGGGTTTCAAATGGCTATGTCGGTATTGAAAAAGCTATTTCGAAGTATTTGTTTTTAAGTGTTCTTAAACATGTCATATTTTCCTGGGTCCTGGGAGTAGTTTATTCCAACTGTAGAAGTTAGTGGCAATTTCCCCTGCAAAATTCTGCTTGAAAGCATGTTTTTAATAAATATAAAGTTTCTGGAAAAAAAAAAGAGTCCTACTAGGCTATGGGTTTCTTCCACAAGGAAGTGCACCATGGTAGAATCCTTTAATGAGGTATTTTTTTTTCTTTCTTTCTTTTTTTTTTTTCCAAAAGGAAAATGTACCAAAAGAAAAGAGGAATGTGAATCAGCTGCCATGTAAACTAAGTTGATTCCCTTTTGGCCCATGTGCTGGGACTTCAAAATTTTTGGAGATTTATCTTCTGAGTATATTGAAATTCCCAGGCCAAATTTTTCTTGAAAGATGATAAATCAAATTGTATATACAGTGGTGGGCTAAAGATATGTGCTCTGTGATTATACTGGCTATTTACACCATACCTTAGTTATAAATATTTACTTTGAAACATTCTAAAAAATATAAATAGCTAGATTACAAAATACCAAAAATAAAGGCAAAACTAAGACTCAGAGAATAAGGGAGTATTCTGACATTTGAAAGATAATCCTTTGTTCTTAAAGTTTACTTGTTTTGCTTCTGATAACTCTGCATACTTTACAATTTAGCAATGTTTGAACTCTGTTTGTCTGGATTAAGCCAAGAATAAAGAGATTGTCCAGGTTTTCTTAATATTTAAGACTTCATGAAAAAAAAAATCATCTAATTAAAATAAACCATCACTCTGGAATCACAGAATGTAAGACATTGATTTGCTTAAAATTTTATTTTATAGAAGAGGGACCATGAGGCTCAAAAAAAATTTCCTTTTAAAAATGATTTGTTCAAGGTTGCAAAGTGATGGAGCTGTGACTTAAAAAAAAAAAATGATCTTAACCTTGAAGTAGTTCTTTCTATCCTATTTGCTTCCTCTACTTCTCATTAGGTGGCACTGTCTCTCACATTTGGAAATGCAGTGATTAAAACTGAAAGTGCTGAACTCCCAGGAATATAACAAACAAGGTAGGTAAAGAGAGCCTGCATCCCACTCACCCAAATCAGAGCACTGGACAACTCGAAGGTGGCATTGGCAGCGGAAGGGACACACTGGCCCCAGAGGCTCAAAGTCAGCATCATAAGAAGTGGGATTTTCTGGGTCTATCCCAGAAGCCTCATCTGCTTGCATGAGGTCATAAAAGTCAAATATGCTCCTCTGTTGGAAAGGTCCGGCCCAGGAAACTTGAGCAAGCAGAAGAAAGATGATAGTTGCCTTCATGACTTATCTCATATGTTTTCACAACCAAAGAACCTGGGGAAAAAAAACAAAAGGTTTGGAAGAGTAGCCTTGCCTAGTTTATAACACCCCACAGTGAAGTGAGCATAAAGGAAAGTAAAAAAATATATATATATTCATGTGTTTTAATAGATTGTTAAGAAGCAGAGTCTTAAAAATGTGTTTAAAAGGTGATAAGGTACATTTAGACTGACTTTCAAGGCTATTTACCTATGAAGGAAAAATTGAATATTATTTACATTACTTGTTTTAAATTTGGGGTCTCAATGAAGACAACTTATTATATATTCACATCATTTACAAAATTGTTATGGATGAATCATGTTGAAATTTTCAGTGCTCACTCAATGCAAGCCATACCACAGTCAAATAAAGTTTTGACTATATACCTGAGATCTCTAATTCCTGCTTCAGAGATATCTCTGAAAGCCTATCTTACCTCTCCATCCTACCATAGTTATCTTGGTCCAGTCCCTTCTTATCTCCTGGAACTATGATAAGAGCTTCCAACTGGTATCTGCCTTGAATATTCCCTCTGCACCAGATCACCTTCCACTCTGCTGCCCAAGTTATCCTCTAAAAGTCCAATTTAATTGTATCATCTTCTGCTGGAAACCCTTTGTTGACATCCACGGCTTAGCAATAAGGTCTACGTTCCCTGTGGTGCATATAAGACTGTTCATAATTTGGTACCAACTGATCATCTAGCTACATGCCTCTCCATTTTCTCTTCATTCCCAGGCCCCATCAAAACTCTGACCCTCAAAGCTAATTGCCATTTAAAATACCTACCTTGTAAGAGTGTTGCAAAGATTAAGAGAGCTAATGGGCTTCTCCTGTGTTTCTCCCTGGCTCATCCAGGCAGGATGCTGCTTTCTCTCTCTTCTGTGCTCCCAAAACATGTTCTCTTAACCTCTTTTAAAGAACTTATCACATTATATTGTAATTTGTTCTGCGTGCTTGTTCTGCCCCCCTCCCCCCCAACCTCCCAATAGAAGTTGTACTCCTTCAGGGCATGTCTTATTTTTGTTTTGTACCCGGCCTTGCGTAATATTTTGCACGTAAATGACTCAATTGATCATCAACTTATTAACACCAGTTATTTAATTTGTGTTAAGCAACCAGTTAGTCTGATTTTTTAAAACATAAATTATCTTTTTTTTTTAATATCAAATTTCTAGCACAAGAAAGATATAGAACTGCAAGCTTCAACTTGGTATAAGCAAGATTCACTTTTAAAAGTAATTCTATTAGATAGTTTCTCAAACTGATCACTTTAAATGAACCAATAACACATATGGAAAATCCTAACTGAATTTTATATGACGTATTATTTGGTTTTACCTATAGGATTATTTTATAAACAAATAAAAAGTACAATTTTGGCAAATCCATACAGTATGCATCCATTCATTCATTAAGCACTTATGGATACATATATAGCTACGTTGTTGAATTGATTATGTAGTTAGTTAGCTTAAGAGAACTAAACAAAATTGACTAAATCTTAATAAATCTGAGTAACAAAAATTAGTTGATCATGTAGAGAGCAGTCTATTTTTGAGTTGATATATTTAAAAAACTTCGTTGAAAATGTTCTAAGTATTCCCAAAACATATTGCAGATATTATCTTTAGTCCCACCACCTATACTTTGAATTATACACATATAAGAATCCAAACTAAAGCTGCACATTTATAACTAGAACTAAATAATTGTTTATAATAATCCAATTGTAGCATAAGAAAAAAAGTCTTCATATACCCCAACCCTAATAAATCTTTGGGAAATTTTTGGGTAGATCCTCCAGAGAGGGAATAAATATTTTCAATTTCTTATACTTTTGTTTCTTAGTTTATATTTATTACTAAAGTATGTCAAAGTCAACACATATACAATATGAGCTTATGGATTTTTATTTAAAAATATTACTAAGATTAATTATTCACACTGCCCCTTTAAGTTCAGTATCCGGTTTCCTCTGGGAGCCCATTCCCACTCAGTTACCGCATTGCCTTTTAACGGAGACTCTATTGTCTTGGCAGTGTTCCCTTGGATTGGAACTAAGGGAAGGACTTTCAGTCTGTTTCACATTAAAATGCAAAATTTATGGTTTACCACAAGTTTGCTAGCCTTGCATATTTAATGTCTCACAATTTTAGAAGAAAAATTAAGCAAAGTAGTTGCAGACTTAATAAACAGCAACTAGAATTAATGCAGATGTCACTTTTGGATCTTTTCTCCAGGATAGAGATTACCTGGTTATTTCATTCACCCACATATGGAAATGTTGAGCATTCGCTCAAGGAAATATTATCATTTATATATATTTACTCTTGTTAAAATGGTAGGAATTCTCTACACAAAATTATTTTTGGTTAAAGCTGCATGCAAACAGGCAGTTTACAGCTGTCAGTGTGTGTGTGTGTGTGTGTGTGTGTGTGTGTGTGTGTGTGTGTGTGTATGCATGCATTTTAACCCTGATTGTCCTGGGGAATAATAATAATATGTCCAAGAACTTTATACAAATTTCTTCAAGAACTAACTTCTTTTAAATAGTGCCTTGACACTTGAATACTTGAATACTCAGCATCTTAAAACAATTAATGTGGGCAGTTGGTGCTAATAATTTACTTAATCATTTCCTTCTTTCCTTAAGAAAACAGAAAAATAAAAAAAACAACAGTTACCCATGTGGAAACCAGGCAGGCTATTATTGTGATAAAAGACTTTATAAATTTCATTACACTGTTGTTAAGTACTCTAAAATACATGATTCTTTCCTAAATGCTAATTGCTAAGAATAATCTCACTACTTTACTAAAGTTCATTGCCATAATTTATAAGTATTTTATCAAAAATAACAATCTCTGGTTGCTGAGACTACTTCAGCCCATTAAATTAACTATATCATTTCAGATCAATATTTGCATGATGTCATTTATGAGTGACTTTCAAAGTCAAAATTTAACCCTCAGGAGATAAGTGAAGCTCTAAATGCAGAGCAGAATTAAAACCCCCCAGCACTAGGTGAATTAAAAACCTCAATAAAATAGAAATAATTTTAAAATAAACAGTAGAACCACATTTATCCACCAATAAGGGCTACTCTAGGAGGCGTCTGGTTCTTTTTCTGGTCGAAACAGCCCTGGGAAGGAAAAAACCACAGGTATTTACATTACCAGAGCCCACTTACCAAGTGGCCATCAGGTTACCCTGTTTGCAATGGAGATAAAAAATAACCTACACCCTCCTTTCATAATGAATGCACCTTATAAAATTTCATTTATATCGAAAATACAGACAGGGTTTCTTCTTTACACTTAAGAAATTATGTAATTAAATGTGGTATTACTTTCGTTAGGTCTCTAATAATCAGCATAAATGTTTCCAATGTTTATTTTCACCTTTGGTGATAATTTATATTTTCTTATAGGTTGTAGAAATGTACACTAAACTTCTACAACTAATGACCAGAGACTTCTCTTAGGTTTTAAAAGTTCTTAAAATAAACAAGGTTTCAGGAAGAAAATAAATCCTTAAATATATAATGCAACTACGAATAATATGCTAGTCTACAATACTTTTCTATAAATAGATTCGAAAGAGCTAAACATTTCATTAGTACAAATACAAATATATAAATACAGATGGCCATGGTTTTAGATCATAGATTTTCTAAAATAAATATCCCTTTCTTTTTGCAAGAACAGAAAGAACTAAAACAATGCATTTGATCATTCAACCAAATATTTAACTTCTGTTTTCAAGCAATACTTTTTTTAAATGCTGCGTAAAGATTATTAAAAGTTTAGCACAATTACTTTTTCTTTTCTTTTTCCCACCAAATAATCTCTATTTCCCTCAAGTTTTTATTAGTCTGTAGCAGAGTTCAGGACAATTATTGAAAACCATACCTTTTAATCCGGGGATTTGCCACAGGAGCCCTCAAAGCTGAGATGTAATTACACTAAATATTCGGCCCAAGCAAAGAGTTTGCAGGTGTGGGAAGGAGGAGGGGGTAGGTGCTGCTCTGTGCCTGTCACTAGGTTGAAAATCTCCTGCTTCTACTCCATAGCCCAGATAAAAAATAAGGTTTCCCTCAATGAACACTACCCGGCTGACACCCACATTAGATCATATGGTAATGATATGTCTCTTGTATTGTAGCCAGAAACTTTATTGGCCTCCCCCCCCCCCCATTTGCTTTATTTCTTTTACATCTGCTTAAGATTCTAAACTGCTTATGTGCTAGAGTGGAGGAACTTGACTTGAAATTTCTTTTATTATGTGGATGCATTTCCCTAAACTATTGCAACTAAAGGGTTTGTTTCCCCACCCCCACCCCGACTCCGCTATCCGCCCTTCCCAGTCTTGTTTATAAGGAACATTTATTATACTTCTGAAACGGCAGTTTTTCTTGCTTTCTTGTTGTATAAGACCGGCAAATGGAATGAAATGAATCTTGCAGTTATTTTAAATGCGGTCTGTGAAAATAAATGAGTAGCCTTATGTGAAAAGACTCATTCGGATTCCTACTTGCCTAGGGCTGTTTGTGCAAATTCAAGTGGAGGTTTTCTATATATTTTGAATGTGTTTCTAAAGGGTCCTGGATGAAAGCCGTGGTTTTATATGAAAAGCATGCCATTTGTTACTTTCATTACTCATAGTTTAAAAGCTTTCTTGTTGTCTCCGAGTTTTTTTGTTTGTTGTTTAATAAAACACACAGAAACTAGAAGTCAGTCACAAGTTAATTTAGCCTGGATATGCAAAGTTTAATTTTCATAGACTACACTTTTATATAATCTAGAACTTTGAAGAGGCAATAGAGTCTACGGTTCTTTGCAAATTTCAGTAAATAGAAAAAAAGACAGTGCAAATACAAGGAAAGTCCTTTATTTAGCTAATGGGGGACTTTTTTGAGTTTTTGTAATTCCCTTGCTGAATGCTGTTAGCTCTCTCTGTGTCTCTCTCTGTTTTGACTTGTATCTTTATGCTCTCCCCCAGGCTATTACCAGGTGGAAACTTGAAATCAGCATCTGTGAAACATGAGAGGATCCCCCTCCATTCTCCACCCTCCCTTCTTCCCTCCACTGGCCATCTAAGTATACTATTCCACAGCAAATACTCTTTGGCTTGATGAAACTTCAAGGAATTCAATTCTAGAGTGGGTAACTAAAGGAGGGGAGAGGGTGTTACCAAATTATATTTTACCTTATTTCCCAAGCCCTGCCTCCCTAATTTTAACACCTTACCCCACTCCTCTTTCCCTTGACAGTTAATAATTATAATTCCAGTAATTCTGACGTTTTAGAAAAAGGCAAGGATTGTTTTCCCTGGACATTGGTGCAGATGATCTCCTTACCTGGATTAATTTTTCCTCTGATATTCTCTTGTATGGCATTTATCTATTGTAGCTATTTATCTACATGCCTGACCCCCCTGAAGGAAGCACATCATCTTCATATTTATAGAGTCCCTGCACCCAACACAATCATGGCATACAGTGAATGTGCAGGAAATACTTGAATGACTCCATGAAGGCATTCAGAATATTGGTTATGGACCACACCATGATTATTATTTTGCCCAGTCTGGCTTGTTCCTCATCAAAAAGCATTCCTACCAAAGTATATCCGACAAATAACAGCAATAATTATTGAGAAACAGAGGGAGAAAGAGAGAGAGAGAAAGAGAGAGAGAGAGAGAGAGAGAGAGAGAGAGAGAGAGAGAGAGAGAGAGAATGAGGGAGGGAGAAAAGAAAGGAAGGGAGGGAAGGAAGGAAGGGAAGGAAGGAAGGGAGGTATAAAGGTATTAAAGAAAAAGTAGAATTAGGGCAAAAGGAGAAGACATGATGTGGATCATCTTGGTTAAGGTTCACATCTTGATCCTTCCCTCTGCTAGCAATCTGAGCGAACTCAGACAATTCACTTAACCACCCCAAGTCTCAGTTTCCATATCTGTAAAGTAGACAAAAATTATTACCTTGTTCATAATGTTGGGGTGAAGATGCAAGGAGGCAACATACATACAGCATGTTAACTCAAAGCATGACCCCAATAAATGGAGCTCTTTTTTAATGAGCAAGAGAAATTATATTTACTACTTCATTTACTACATGATTTACAGATGAGAACACTGGACTCCAGTGATCTGCCCAAGTTCACCTCGCTGGCAGGAAGCACAGCAGAAACTAACACTCAGGTCTTCTAGTTTTCCATTACTATACACATTTTAAGAAAGATCAAACTCAGAAGACACAGAAATTTAAGTATTGAACTATCAAAATTCTTGGGTAGCATGTCTTTGCAGACTATTTTAAAAACTGTGACCAAGTTATAATTCTTTTTAAACTTTGTATTTGTATAAGAATGGATATTTCCATTTTTTAAATTTTAATGAGAACTTCACCTCTAAAACCCCAAGGATTTTATCAAACATGGTTTTAAAATCTGTACCTGCAGATATTAAGTTACATATATTGCCACACTTGCTTTTAGATACAAGAAACTAAGTCACTACAAAGTCATATACCATTAAGTCACCAAGAAGCCATGGGACCGTCATCAGAATTCAGGTCTCTTGTAATCTAATGGGAAATGGGAACATTTTGAGGCTAGAAGCAGGTCTTGTAAGAAGACTACTGAAATTTATGTTGGTTTGGAATGTGTGGGGGTAGGGCTCACAGAAACCTTGGCTGCTGTGTAGATATTTGAAATATTCAAATTCAGAGCACATACCACATCTGCTGTTTAAACCACTTAAAGTGTGATTTCTACTGACAACTCCCTAGTTAACAGGGTAAGGATATTCTGCAAGCTGTCAAAGTTCATTCCAAGGCTAGTCACTCTCTCTCACTGACATCAAATGCAAGCGATTTAAATTGTGCCTGCAGATTAAGGATGTGAAGAATGCCAGAGCCCAGAAAGGTCTTCTTATGACACCCTTTTATTTTCTAAGAGGTCTGGAAGCAACTGAGTATCACAAACCTGACGTGACTGCTTTATTCTTAGACTGACTCTTCAAAGTCAGGTCTGGGGCTACAGTGGGTTGTCTGGCTCTTTCTTCTGCCACCCTAGACAGATTTTCTCCTTGAGCCAAGGAAAAGTACTAGGGTGGAATTCAGGGCAGCCTTGAATGTGGGATGGCTTGAGACAAGATGTGCAGTAGAAAACTATTTCCTTGGGCATCTTCTTTCTTTCCCACGTGACTCCACTCCTTGGCCCCTCACCACTGTGTCCAGTGTCCTTGTGCCTTTCATAAGTCATTTAACCTCTCTGTTCCTCAGGTTTTTTAATCCATAAAATGTGGGTAACCCTAACACTACCCACTTCATAGGTCTGTGGTGAGTTTTAAAAAGGATTAATATATAAAACATGTAGAGTTGTGACTGATACATCCCAGCACACAGTACTGTCCCATTTGCTGCTGGCACTCTTGTGGTGGTCATTATAAAGACCTTTCCTTGGACACACCAATCCACTAAACAGACTGCATCCTTTTCCTAGCCCAAGGTGTTTTCTACTGAGAAATCCCCTAGTCCATGATGTAATTGGAAAAACAAGGACTTCATAGTTAGATGAGCTTGGATTTAAACTCATACTTTGTACTTGTTAAAGAACTGCTTGGCTTTCTTCATGCATAGTGTTTTACTGGGTTCCAAGTAAATCCTGTGGAAATCCACTCATGGACTTCATAAAAATCCAGAGATCTCAAACTGAAAAATCTCTACTCTGAACAATGAAGGATAAATGATTATAGAGACAAGGGTAGGGGAAGTTATAAATTAAGATAGGGAAAAGATATGGAGATGTGTACCTTGCTTTAACCCAAGAAGTATTCAAATTTCTTAATTATTTTACTCTTCTTGAATATTCAGGAACATCTGTTTTGTCAATTGCAGTCAGATTTATTATTCGTTCTACAATGTTGGTTAATCAGTTTGCACTGGGAAAACAAGCCCCCATTTATTGAATATCTAGTAGTGTGTGCAAGACACACTCTCTTTAAATACAAGGAAATTCCCAGTAAACTATCAACAATCAATCAATCAACAAATATTGACTGAGAAACCACTGTGGGAGAAAAAGTTAATACTAGGCCCTCTGAAAGATACCAAGAAACAAACATTATAAAGTGAAAGACATGCCCACGAAGCATTTAGACTGGAGTAAGGAGATAGGGCATAAGCAATATATGTGGACATTTTAGAGTTATCATACTAAAAAATTTATAATGAATTATCTATACTAATAAAAGTATAATATGCAAATTAACCATCACTCCACGACAAAAGATGGTGGTGCCTATAGCCACAAAGATGGCGGTGCTGGCCAGAGCCATGGAGTTGGCGGAGCAGGTGACAAAGGAAGCCAAGCCTCCTGCACACCTGGGCCGGCCGCTGAGGGAGACATGGAGGGAGTGCAGTGGGGTGACATGTGGGAAGTGAGCGAAGTTCCCTGTCTGGGAGTTCAAAATCCACCATTGGTTCCTTTCACCACTGACTAGAGATATACGGGGTGTCCCCCCCAAAATGTATACACACTTTGAATACCTAATAATTCCAATGGGTTGAAGCATGAAGAGAAAGAAACAACAATGGAGCTGCCATCTGTTAAAAGTGCAGGCACAAACCGGCAGTCGGACATTCCCCGAGGGGTCCTGGATTGGAGAGGGTGCAGGGAGGGTGCAGGCTGGACTGAGAGGGCCCTCCCCGCCCCCCCCATGCATGAATTTCATGCACCAGGCCTCTAGTATTATTATAATTCCTGGCCAAAGTTAAGTTGTTGTACTTAATAATAATTATCTTAGCAAGTCAGAGAAGGGATGGGGAAAGATCATGATACACTAGGGTGGTTAGGTGAATATTTATGGAGAACAAGGTACAATTTGACCTGAATCCTGAGGGACAAAAAGAATGTGAAAGGAGAGAGACAGCTTTTTAGGCTGGTGAAAAAGCTCTATCAAATCCTTGGCCATGGGAAAGCAAGACAATAAACAAATGCAACTTAAGTGGATGTTTCCTTTCAAAGAAGCCATGAGCTCTTGTATCATCCTTGAATATCCAAAACTGCCATGGTGCCTGACATGTTGTGTCACACAATGAATGAAGTTCCAAGTCTATGGTAATAACTGAATGGTGACAAGGAAAGA